AGGTATCCACTTTCTTGGAGATATGTTCAAAATGTAGCAGCTCTTTAAAAAGAACTATTCCCATGTTTTCTGTTCTTTGCTATTTATGCTATCAGATCCAAATAGAATACTCATCAGGTGAACTAAACACAGAGAAGTTTAACAACATCTGTTGTCATAATTGGTATGGACTTGCCTTTATGGTATTGACAAATGTGTTTTCCCCAAACCTACCATTCCAGGTCCTCATCGCTCTTAGAATGAGTTCTCCAGTCCCTTCTCTCATATTTCCAGAATTCTCTTATTAAGAGGAAGATGGGGCAAGGGTGGAAGGAAAGAGGTGAGCCTGGAAGGGGCATTCACTGGATTTTCAAGGAGCAGGAGGAGAGTGATAAGCAGAGCTCTGCTGGGCACCAGCAGTCCTTCTGGGCCATGGTGAAGACAGCAGGTTGTGCTCCCAGGATTGGCATGGGGTGGCTTGTCAAGGTCAACCCCAGCCTCCCTCTTTGCCCATCCTGCTCCCTCTCCCCTGATGGCAGCCTCACCTCCAGCAGGATTCCTCATCCCTGGCACAAAGAGCCAACTCCTGCCTATGGGGGCTGGAGAGGAAAGGCAGGGCGGAAAGGGGTCAACTCTTAACACCCAAGGAAACACTGAGGACAGAAAGGAGGATACGCGGGGCCAGCTAGAAGCAAGGGGCCTGCCTGCCAGCGCCACGCTCCCTAACTGCCAGGCCACACTGCCTCGATTTCTGGGGAGCCAGAAACTTGTAGGAGGTCAGGAAGAAAAGGGAGGGAAAAAGATGGAAGAGAGTTTGGGGGATTTGGAGAAAGAGGGCAGCGGTTGGGGAGACCCGTACATGTTCCACACCATGCTAAATAGATGGTATGCAGAATAATACTAAAATACAGAGGACAGCAAATAATATATAGAATACTGCCATATATTCGCCACCAAGATCAAAGTGTCAACGGTTTGTCTTATTTCTTTCCATTTTTTTTTTTTTTTTTTGAGATGGAGTCTTACTCTGTTGCCCAGGCTGGAGTGCAGTGGCACGATCTCAGCTCATTATAACCTCCTCCGCCTCCCCAGTTCAAGCAATTCTCCTGCCTCAGCCTCCTGAGTAGCTGGGATTACAGGTACGCACCACCACACCCAGTTAATTTTTGTATTTTTGTTTGTTTGTTTGTTTGTTTTTGAGACGGAATCTTGCTCTGTTGCCAGGCTGGAGCACAGTGGCACAGTCTTGGCTCACTGCAACCTCCGCCTCCCGGGTTCAAGCGATTCTTCCGCCTCAGCCTCCCAAGTAGCTGGGACTACAGGTGCATGCCAAACGCCTGGCTAATTTTTATTATTTTTAGTAGAGACGGGGTTTCACCATGTTGGCCAGGATGGTCTCGATCTCTTGACCTCGTGATCCACCCGCCTCTGCCTCCCAAAGTGCTGGGATTACAGGCACCAGCCACTATGCCCTGCCACTTTCTTTATAGTCCCCTCCCCTCCTTGTGGAACTTTGCCATCTCTGCCCCTCCCCCTGAGAGGGAGCCGCTCTCCTGAAGTTCTGTCTTTTCAGTCTATGCTGTTAGTGTGTGTGTGTGTGTGTGTGTGTGAGAGAGAGAGAGAGAGAGAGACAGAGAGACACAGAGAGAGAGAGAGACAGGGTCTTGCTGTGTTGCCCAGGCTGAAGTACAATGTTGTGATTGTGGCTCACTACAGCCTCAACTTTGCATATCCATCTTTGTGGATATGCAACCACAAAAATATATATTATTGCTCACGTATCATAAATTCTTACAAACATGATGTAATGTGGCCCAGATTCTTTTGCCATTTGGTTTTATTTTGCTCACATCATGTATCATGTTTTTGATACTTATCCCCCTTGATACATGAGATAGTACTTTCATTTTATCTGCTGCATAGTATTCCGTTTTGTGAATAAATCTAAATTTCCTTTTCTATTCTCCTATTCATGGACATTTAAATTGTTTCTAATTTCTTTGTTGTTGTTGTTATTATGAAGAACATGAGCCAGGCACGGCAGCTCATGCCTGTAATCCCAGCACTTTGGGAGGCTGAAGCGGGTGGATCACAAGCTCAGGAGATCAAGACCAACCTGCCCAATATGGTGAAACCCCATCTCTACTAAAAATACAAAAATTAGCTGGGTGTGGTGGTGGGCGCCTGTAATCCCAGCTACTTGGGAGGCTGGGGCAGGAGAATCACTTGGTCCAGGGAGGCAGAAGTTACAATGAGCCGAGATCGTGCCATTGCACCACTCCATCCTGGGCGACAGAGCAAGACTCTGTCGAAAAAAAAACCACCACCACCAGAACATGAATGGACAACTTTTTTTTTTTTTTTTTTTTTTTTTTTTAAGACAGAGTTTCACACTGTTGCCCAGGCTGGAGTATGGTGGCACAATCTCAGCTTACTGCAACCTCTGCCTCCTGGGTTCAAGCGATTCTCCTGCCTCAGCCTCCTGAATAGCTGGGAATATGGGCACCTGCCACCACGCTCAGCTAATTTTAGTATTGTTAGTAGAGACGGGGTTTCACCATGTTGGCCAGGCTAGCTCAAACTCCTGACCTCAAGTGGCCCTCCTGCCTTGGCCTCCCAAAGTGCTGGGATTACAGGTGAGAGCCATGATGCCCAGCCCAGACATCCTTGTGTGTGTCTCCGCATCACACATACGGGAGTTTCTCTAGAGCCATAACTACAGTTTAGAATTGCTGGGTTCCAGGGAAATGATAAACATGCAATTCCAGGTTTATCAGATATTGCCAAATTGCCCTCAAGTGATTGTGTCATAAACTCTCCCTCCAGGCCGGGAACAATGGCTCATGCCTGTAATCTCAGCACTTTGGGAGGCCGAGGCTGGGGGATCACCTCAAGTCAGGAGTTCCAGACTAGCATGGCCAACATGGCGAAAACCCGTTTCTACGAAAAATATAAAAATTAGCTAGGCATGATGGTGCATGCCTATAATCTCAGCTACTCAGGAGGCTGAGGCACAAGAATCACTCGAATCCGGGAGGCAGAGTTTTCCTCACTGCACTCCAGCCTGGGTTACAGAGGGAGACTCTGTCTCAAAACAAACAAACAGGCTGGGCGTGGTGGCTCATACCTGTAATCCCAGCACTTTGGGAGGCTAAGGCGGGCAGATCACCTGAGGGCAGGAGTTAGAGACCAGCCTGTCCAACATGGAGAAACCTCGTCTCTACTAAAAATACAAAATTAGCTGGGCGTGGTAGCACATGCCTGTAATCCCAGCTACTGGGGAGGCGGAGGCAGGAGAATCACTTGAACTCCAGAGGCGGAGGTTATGGTGAGCTGAGATTGTGCCACTGCACTCCAGCCTGGGCAACAAGAGCAAAACTTCATCTCAAAACAAACAAACAGGCTGGGCATGGTGGCTTATGCCTGTAACCCCAACACTTTTGGAGGCCGAGGTGAGCAGATCACCTGAGGTCAGGAGTTCAAGACCAGCCTGGCCAACATGGAAAAAACCCATCTCTACGAAAAATACAAAATATTAGCCAGGCGTGGTGGCACATACCTATAATCCCAGCTACTCCGGAGGCTGAGGCAGGAGAATCACTTGAACCCAGGAGGCAGAGGCTTCAGTGAGCCAAGATTGAGCCACTGTACTCCAGCCTAGGGGACAGAGACAAACTGGCCGGGTGGGGTGGCTCACGCCTGTAATCCCAACACTTTGGGAGATGGAGGAAGGTGGATCATTTGAGGTCAGGAGTTTGAGATAAGCCTGACCAACATGATGAAACGCCGTCTCCACTAAAATTACAAAAATAGGCTGGATGTGGTGGCAGAC